GCTTACCCCAAATGGGAAGGGGACGAGGAAAGGTGCCCCTAAAATAGGCTGTCCTATTCTCTTGTTTGGGAAATCATATAGTGTGGGATTACTATCTTTGTGATCAAAGAAAACAAACCTTGAATCTTGCAACGTGGAATGTATGAACCCTCATGGATAACCTCAAGAATGACTGTCAAAGAAAGAAGAACAGCAATTGTGTCACAAAAGGTATCAGGACTTCAGACAGTCATCATTGTTGATATTGAGAGCTGACTTTCTGGGAAACAACAGTTTAAAAAAACAGAAAGGCTATACACATCCTACTACATACCCAAGGAGGCTGACAGCAATTCTTGTGCCCACACAGTTGGCTTGACCATCCTTAAAGGATGATGGATGTGTTGCTAGAACTCTCCAATTATACAAGTGAAAAATTTATGACACTTCACCTACAGATTGGCCACGACCAATGTGCCACTGCCATCAATGCTTATTTCCCGACCCTGGACTCTGACAACACACTTTCCTCTGAATACACCCAGATTTGTCTGTATCGTTCTCATACATAGTTCTTTACTGATTCAAGTTCTCTCTCATCTTAAAGGATACGCAAGAAGATACCAACTGGATTGACCCTTTCAGACCCTTATGTTGTAAATCTATTATGTCAGAGGGGGGGTGGGAGGGGAGATGGGGTAGAGTGTGAATGTAAATATTTATTAACATATATCGATTTTTGTATCAGTACAGAGACGTGGTAGCAGGGAGAGGTGCAGCATAATAGTCTGAAAGGGCTCTGCAAGAATTAAAGAAGAGTATGGGTAACAATTAACTTTGATGATGTTATATATCATATGGGAAGGAGACTTTGCATGGAGTTCAATGGATCCAAATGTATTTCTGTGATGTCCCATAAAGTCTGCAAGTATGCGATAAACTAGTTTCTGTTAACATACAGTAGACTCTCATCTCTACTAGTTAGACCCTAAAGGTAGATAGCTTCCATTCCAATTCTTACAACAGTCTGCTATCTGTCATAACATATGGAGTTTAAATGTTACTGAGTTTAAGGTCAGGAAGGGGTAAAGAGTCTGGTGCCTGGGCTATATGTGGGATATGTGAGAGCTTAATACTTGGGGAATGAATAGGAAGAAAGAAGGTGCAGAGGTGTTACAGTCTGTGGCTGGACAGCACTAGAAAATAAAGAGGAAATTGGGATGTTGGAATAAAAAAAAAACCATATCACAGAGTAGTACTTAAAAACCTCGAACATGAGAATGAGAAGTGGGACTTAAAGTAACACTAATCAATAGCATGAGACTTAACTCCTCATTTGCCCATCAAACTTGCAAAGTTTACAGCATTCAAATAAGGCATCAAAAAGCCGACAATTAAATATAAGCATTGTTGTAACTGAGAACTTGTACATATCTAATAGCTAGAGTTTTAAAAACTTGACACTCTTCCCAGTATAAGGTTGACTCAGGGAATGGAGAAAATGGAAACACTGTAGTCAACTGATGAACAAGCTAATGAAAAGTATTTTAAGTGGAGTTCCCAACTTCCTTGTGACCATGAACCTACTTTGGGACAGCAATGCAAGTTAAGAAATGGGAGCAAAGTCAAGCGAGAGACAAATTAAATGATTTTAAATACTGTTCCCAACCAGAAAGCTGCAAACAGAGCATTTGACTGTTGAAAACAAATGAAAATATAGCTTTCAGTCTGTAGGAATGTGGAACATTCCCTATACCCTACCAGATGCAAATATGCATCTAAAGATAGACTTGAAGATAGATAAATACCCTGGACCCGTTGGGATTTATCCAAGGATTTTATGGGAAGCGAGGGAAGAGATTGCAGGGCCTTTGGTGATGATCTTTTCGTCCTCACTGTCCGCGGGTATAGTGCTGGAAGACTGGAGAGTGGCAAACGTCATTCCCTTGTTTGAAGAAGGGAATAGGGATAACCCCGGAAGTTACAGGCCAGTTAGTTTTACTTCAGTGGTGGGCAAATTATTGGAAAGGGCTCTGAGAGATAGGATTTATGATCACTTGGATAGGCACAGTTTGATTCGTGATAGTCAGCATGGATTTGAGAGGGGTAGATCATGCCTCACAAACCTTATTGATTTCTTTGAAGAGGTGACCAAAACACATGGATGAAGGTAGAGCAGTGGATGTGGTACACATGGATTTAAGTAAGGTGTTTAATAAGGTTCCTCATGGTAGGCTCATGCAGAAAGTAAGGGGGCATGGGACAGGGGGAAATGTGGCAGATTGGATTCAGAATTGGCTGACCCTTAGAAGACAAAGGGTGGTAGTGGATGGAAAATATTCAACATGGTGCTCAGTTACGAGTGGTGTACCACAAGGATCTGTGCTGGGTCCTCTTCTATTTGTGATTTTTGTAAATGATTTGAATGTAAGAGTGGAAGGGTGGATTAGCAGGTTCGCGGACGATACGAAGGTGGGTCAAGTTGTGGATAGTGCGGAGGGCTGTTCTAGATTACAAAGGGACATTGATAGGATGCAGAGCAGAGCTGAGAAGTGGCAAATGGAGTTTAACCCTGAAAAGTGTGAGGTGATTCATTTTGGAAGGACAAACTTGAAAGCAGAATACAGGGTTAATGGAAAGATTCTTGGCTGTGTGGAGCAGAGGGATCTTGGGGTTCATGTCCACAGTTCCCTGAAAGCTGCCTCCCAGGTGGATAGAGTTGTTAAGAAGGCGTATGGTGTGTTAATTTTCATTAATAGAGGGATTGAGTTCAAGAGCCGTGAAGTTATGCTCCAGCTATACAAAAGCCTGGTTCGGCCACATCTGGAGTATTGTGTCCCGTTCTGGTTGCCTCGCTACGGGAAAGATGTGGAAGCATTGGAAAGGGTGCAGAGGAGATTTACCAGGATGTTGCCTGGAATGGAGGGAAGGTCTTACGAGGAAAGGTTGAGAGAGCTAGGGCTTTTCTCTTTAGAACGACAAAGGATGAGAGGTGACTTGATAGAGGTGTAAAAATGATCACAGGTATAGATAGAGTGGACAGCCAGAGACTTTTTCCTAGGGTGGAGGTAGCCATTATGAGGGGGCATAGTTTTAAAGTGAGTGGAGGTAGATATAGGGGAGATGTCAGAGGTAGGTTCTTTACTCAGAGAGTGGTAGGGGCATGGAATGCATTGCCAGAGCGGGTAGTGGAGTCGGCCTCATTCGGGGCATTTAAGTGGCTATTAGATAGGCACATGGATGATAGCATAAGGTAGGGGTGGAGGTTGGATAGACCTTAGGTTTAGGGTAAAAGTTCAGCACAACATCGTGGGCCGAAGGGCCTGTACTGTGCTATACTGTTCTATGTTCTATGTTCTATATTATAACACTTAAATTTACAAGTAGCAATTCAATTTAAATGATGGAAGGACAGAGATGACAACAACAGTCAACACAGGAAGATACAACCAGGAGTATGTATGGGTCTCATGCATCAGTGGAAGCATTCCTATCTCTGAACCAGGAGTCCAGAATTCAAGTCCCATCTGCTCCAGTGGTGTACCATAACATACATAAACAGGCTGATTTAAAAAAAAACTCTAAATGCTCGTCAGGATGCATTATCATATTGTGGGGGCTGAAGTGTGAAGAACATGCAAAACTTGTAATAAATTGCAAGTCAACAGCCCATGATGTTGCTCATGGGAAATGGAGGCCCAGTTTAGAATTCAGGTGAAGCAGAGCTGGAACCTGGAAGGTAATGATTTCTGGTTACATGGTAAAAATCATTGCTCCGTCTTTTAAAGTCATATACAATTACAGCATGGCAAATCCCAAAGTTTCCATCAGAAACATGGTCATGGGAATTTTGACAGGAGGTGTGCACAGATAAGAATTTTAACAAATTAAAGGCTTATTTTGTATACCATGGAGATAAAAACTTAAGTGTGACTAATGTTAGATTTGTTACGGTCCCGACTGAAAACTTTGATTCCGTACAGAAACAGAAAATATTTGGACCAATAAATATCGACAATGTAATTTATACTATGTTTTCAAATTATGAATTTGTTCACCATTTTATGATATTACTAACGTGTATATCTAACTATGGTGGGAGAGATGAGGAGCTGTCACACGGAAGTGGAATTAGTCTCCTTGGAGTGACAGAACATACTCGAGGGGCTGCAGTGGTGACTCCGGTCAAGTTATCCCAATTTGACCCGAGGATGCTGACACCCATTGTGGCATCTCCAGCTCGTTAGCTAGCTCGGAACGGAAGGCAAATCTCCCAGGTGAAGAAACACACCCTGTTGGATTAACAAGGAATGCTGCAGCGATTTCAGGGAGAGAACTTGATCTCAGGCTAAACCTGTGAGGTGATTAGCATTCTCTCCGCTCTCAGGATTGGTATTTGGCTGCCCCTCCAGCCCAGTATTGACACCCGTCCCTTCCCAAACCCCTCACAAATAGAACGAAAAACATAGCTTTTTCGAAGAAAGACAGCAACTTTAAATAAAACTAACGTCCGTGCCCGCAATAAATAACACATCTGTCTGGATTATAAAGCAACATTGTTTCAACTGTAGTTTAATTTGAAATAAATGCACATATTTTGATTCAGAGATAGTTGGAACTGCCGATGCTGGAGAATCTGAGATATTATCACATATTTTGAGCTGCCCTTTGCTTTCAAGCTGCGACACAAACAATGATTTAGCTACACTTCAGATACGATGTTCAACAAGTAGGCACCCGGAGAGTAACCGCTGAACACCAGCAATAATCAGCGATGTCCCAAAATATTCCTACCAGTTCCTCGTTTAATTTTGCGCACCACTTTTTTTTAAAAAATCGTTTCTATTTTTAAGCACCTTTGCAACGACCCCAGGGAAGCATTACACACCTCAGAGGTACAACTATTGCAAAATCAAAAGCAAAAACGACCGGCAGTCAAAACAGCAGGTTCACACTAAAGCAGTGTTTTTGTTTCAACAAAACTAAAAGCAGAAAGAAAACATAAATTGCTTTGGACTCACCCATTCAAATCCGTTATAATAGGCTTGCAGTAGTTTATAACTTCCAATCCCAACTATGGATGTCGTGAGTAACAACAGATTACAAACTTCTCCAGCTCCAAATCATAAAACCAAAGACTCGTTTGAAATCGATAAGACAGTGTTCCGCCTACATGCCGGGCGCATTGGTCATTGGAGTAAAACTCCCCAAGATCAACTTCTCATTGGTTTAATCTGACTTCAGTCAGTCCCGTTTCCGGGAGTAAGTTTAGGAAATAAAATGACCCCTGAGTGAATTGCAGATATCTTCGTCTAATTTTAAATGCAGTGCTAGGAAAACCCAGAAAACAAATAATTAAACCAGATTATTATTAATTTCTGGAAATGGTGAGCAGATCCAGGCAGCACCCATGGAGAGAAAAGCAAAGTTAACGTTTCCCGCGGAGCCCTTTCATCAGAGCTGGGAAAAGTTGGAGATGTAATCGATTGTGGTCAGTGGTGAGTGGGTCACGGACAAAAGAAAGATCTGTGATAGGATGAGAGTCGGGAGAGATTGAATTACACAACTAGGCCCCAGTAGAATAGTGGGACAGCATGGATATGTAGTGTCCGAAGCAGAAACTGAAACATGTAAAGGAAACAAAGTGGGGGGGTCAGTGTCTGTGACTCAGTGTTGTTGCAATCATTAGTCCAGAAACCTGACAAGTGTCAATTGTTGCCGAAGCTTACTTTCAACATCAGTGGAGCAGCATCAGCCGAGTACAGAGATGTCAGTGTGAGTGCAAGCGGGAAAATCGAAATGACAAAACAACTTGGGGTCATGCTTGCCAATTGCACGAAGATGTTCTGCAAAGTCATCTAATCTACGTTTGGACCTCCCCACGGAAAGGAAACCATTATGGGAAGCAAGCGCTGTAAAATCAGTTGAAAGAAATGCACATAAATTGCTCTTTCAACAGGGAGGACTGCGTGAGGCCTTGGATGGTGAGGACAGAGGCAGGAAAAGGGCAGGTGTTACATCTTCTGCATTTGTAGGGAGAGTAGTGGGGGAAAGGAGAGGAGTGATTGAGGAATGGACCACAATATTAACAACGAAATGGTCCTTTCATAAAGCTGAAGGGTGGGCAGAGTTGGAGATGTCTTTGGTGGTGACATCATACTGGACATGCCATTAATGTTGAATAGGGAAACTGGTGAGGTAAAAGGTGAGAACAAGGTACACCCTATTGTGGCTCTGGGAAGGGAATTTTCAATTGAGGAATTGCTGATGTGAAAAGTTACGTCATCAGAACAAAAAGGAAAGAGGCAGAGATACTGGGAAAATGGAATGGAATCCTTACAGGCTGTAAGGTTTGAGGCAGTGTAGTCAAGACAGCTGTGACAGTCTGTAAGCTTATGATGAACATTAATAGTTCATTCCCTGTCATCAGAAGTGGAGGCAGTAAATTCAGGGAGGGAAGGGAAGAGTTTGAGAAGGGACATGTGAAAGGTGGAAAAAAAACCGAAAGAACTGCAGATGTTGTAAGTCAGGAACAAAAGCAAAGTTGCTGGAAAAGCTCAGCAGGTCTGGCAGCATCTGTGAAGAAAAAATCAGAGTTAACACCCGAAACATTAACATGTGAAAGGTGGAAATTGGGAGCAAAGTTGATGAGGTTTTCCAATTTAGGTCAAGCACAGGGCAAATCACTGATACATTCATTAATATACAGGCAAAAGAGTTAAGGGAAGGGGCCTGAATAGGACTGAAGTGAGGAATGTTTCACACAAGCTACACAAAAGGCAAATGATGCTAAGACCCATATGGATACATTAGCATCTTTGATTTGGAAGAAGTGAGATGAATTCATATAGAAATTCTTCAATGAAAGATGCCACTGACTCAAAACATTAACTCTGTTACTCTTTCCATGGATGCTGTTTGCCCCGCTGAGTAGTATTTGCAGCTTTTCTTTATTTCTCATTTCCAGCATCTACAAAAATCTGTTTTTCAATCAATGATTTCACCAAGATGTCAGAATGGCCAGCTCTGAAAGATCCCTTACACTTGATTGGGATAGTTAGTTATGTGGTGAGAATGGAACTGAACCCCAGATTAGAGCTCACTGAAATTCAGTGCCTTTCACCTATTAATTCAACTACGTTCAATCTTAAGATTGTTTTCAGAGACACAGAATTATATTCAGTTTCTTTTATAGACAATGATACCAACTTTCTGATTAATGAACGAATTGATAAATTAAATAGAGGCATTAACATGTTCAAAGCCTGCCAACCACATCAGGAATATGCATTGCAATATTCTGTGTAATTAGAGATTTGTTGATGTGGAATCTTTACAGGTTGTTTCGTTTATTGAGGGGATGTCTGAAATTACCAACAATTTGTACACCTGTAGCCACCTGAAGTGATATCAGGACTGGTAGCTGAAAGCTAGATAAACAAGGGAGCTTTTAAGCAGAAAGGTCATGCAGGATTTCTGTGTAAGAGCACATCTTGCTAAGATACAAGCAGCAGTGTGAGACAGTTACCATTTCTACAGTCCTTTTAAGTGTTTAACTCAGTTAGGAATTTTCCAGGAGCTTGATCATTCAACAACAAGACGATGCACCTTAATGATAGCAAAGCTGTAATATAAACACCTCTGGCAATGTTTATGTGATGCAGTACCTTGTGAATTTGGACTGAAGTCAATCTGCACGTGAACTTTCTAAATGAATGACTGCTTATCTCGAACATTTACAACAACCACTAGTTTCAAACTGGTCAGTGAATCATTAGCATCAGGATGAATCTAAGATCAGCAGCAAAAAATAAAGGAAATTATCTTAACATAAGTAGTTCTTTAGATTGTGTCAACGAGAGTGGCGGAATCAGAATCCATAATAACTTCAAAAAGGAAAGCAGATAAATCAAAACGTCTGTGTGAAAAGACAATCAGATAATGCGAATATGCCGTTCTGAAAACTGGGCCATATATAATTAATATTTCTGTACAATTGATCATTCTATTACTAGCATGATATAGAAGCAGTGTCATATTTCTGTAAAGCTTCTGTCAGGTCATAAGCTATTCACATCGCATGCTTTCTTACAAATGTAAAATTCATAAAGTGATTTTTAAACAGACAAATGAATTTCAAATAGAGTCATTGAGTCATACAACATGGAAACAGACCCTTCAGTTCAACGAGTCCATACCGAACATAATCCCAAACTAAACTAATCCCACCTGCCTGCTCCTGGCCCAGATACCTCCAAATCTTTCCTCTTCTTCATGTATCCATCCAAATGTCTTTTGAACATTGTAATTGTACCTGCGTCCACCACTTCATCAGGAAGTTCATTCCACACGCGAACCCACCTATATTGCAAATACATGATTACTTTGTTATATAGTCTTTTGAATTTGTTTTTATATTCTCAGTTGAAGTTGCTCAAGGTTCACTGTCTCTGATTATGTAAGATAAACACAGTAATGAATTCTATTTACAACAATTCTGTGAAATCCTGTCTGCATTCTTAGACCGTTGAACCCGAGACAATTTTCCATACAGACACACTCCTTGAGTTCTGTTCAGAGCCTTAAAAAAATTCTTCCTTCATGTTTCTAGACAAAATCAAAATGCCCGTAATTGAGGTTTTCAATTACCAATTGTAACTCAAAATCGATCCAACTCAATTATGAGTGTCACTGTTCAACGTCAACAACAACTTGGATTTATATACCATCTTGAATACAATAGAATATCTGAAGTTGCTTCACAGGTATACTAAAGCTAAATTTGGCAGCTAACCGTCTAAGATGATTTTAGGAAAGGTAGCCAAAAACCTGATCAAACAGAATCCATTTAAGGAATAAAACAAAGAACTGCAGATGCTAGAGATCTGAAACAAGAACAGAAGTTGCTGGTGAACTCAGGAGGTCTGGCAGCATCTGTGGGAAGAAAGCAGAATTAACATTTCAAGAACTAATGAAAAGTCACTGGACTCAAAATGTTAATTTTGCTTTCTTTCCACAGATGCTGCCTGACCTGCTGAGTTTCTCCAGCAATTTCTGTTTTGATTCTTTTAAGGAGTACCTTGAAGGAGAACAGTGAGTGCAGGGAGGAAATTCCAGAGATTGGAGTCTTAGTAGCTGGTGGCATACTTATCAATGGCGGAGAATTTAAAGTTGGGATCCTCAAGTGGCCAAGGAACATTAATGTCCTCATGCATTTTGGGGTCAGAGGTGATTTCAGACTTGGGGAGAGTCCATGCAAGGAATTGAAATCAAGAATGAGAATTTTAAAAAGACTGAAGCGGTAGAGGTAGCTGATTAGATTGTCATAATATTGGTGCAAAAAAAATCCATCGGGTTTGACCACTTACATAAGATTACTTAGGAATCTGTTGCACTGAATCATACCATTCAGCTTAAATAGTCCACGTTAGTGTGTATGATCAACTGAAGCATGCACCCATCTTTCCTCATCTAAATCATCATCTTCACCCTCTATTCCTTTCTTTTTCACATGCTTGTCTAGCTTCCCCTTATATACTTCTGTCTTTCTGTTTCTACTTCCCAAGTTCCACACTCTTATCATCTTTGGCTAAAAAAAGTTTCTTTGAATTTCCTATTGAATTTCTTGGTGCCCTTATTATATTGATGGCCTGTAGTAATGCATTTCCCAAAATGAGGAAACACACTCTCACCGTAACAAAACCTTTCATAATTCAAAGACCTCTATTAAGTCACTCCTGAGATTCTTAATTTGAAAAGGGATAGGATACAGCCTGTTCTCTTTTATTGATGCATATACTCATGCATTTCTTGTTGGAGGCCCAAAGGAGGAGACAGGGGATTGAGAGGGTGGTGGGAATCTGGAATACACTGAGAGGGTATTTGAAGAGGGAAACCTTGCAACCTTTAAAACATACTTGAATGAGCACTTGAAATGTCACAACATTCAATGATTCTAAGGCCATTTTCAAGCAAGTAAGTGATTATAGATGACAGGGGACTGATGAGCAGTTTTGACAGTCAAGAGCACTTTGTGATCCATCCAAATCTGGCAAATAAATGGCTACCCCAGTTGTCATTTTATCCATTCAAGTATTGTATTTATGGGACAAAAGATGAAGGTTGTATCGGGAAACAGCCAGGATA